GCACCTAACAACAACAACAACAACCCCATTCCCAGGACCCCTTCCATCAAACAGAAGAATATTCAGTTAGCACCTTCACACTAAAGTATTGGGAGCTGATCCTGCTGTCCCTCTCAGTAATAATCACATTGCAAATAAAAAAAAGAATCCTCTTTTCTGATATATTCTAAACCAGAAATTTAGTTACAGAAAAAATGGCTACATGGATGAAATTAATTCATGAAATAGCGTTTACACTAAAAGTCAACACTGTAAATATTTCCACATACCCCGTCACAGCAATTTCACTTTGCCCTTGTATTGAAAAAGCAGCTGTAGACAGTATGTAAAGGAATGGGCATGGCTGTGTTACAATAAAATTTTATTTACAAAATCAAACTACAAGCCACATTTTGCCCTCAGGCTATGGTTTGCCTACTTCTGAAAGTGGATGTGGGGGGTGTGGCTAGGAAAACTGGCACAGCACTGTCACTACAATGATGTTATTTCCCAATATTATACACACACACACACAAAACCTCACTGCCATTAAGGTGAGGCCAACTCATAGTGATCCCCTTTTGGTTTCCAAGGCAGTAAGTCTTTATGGAAGTAGATTGCCTGGTCTTGCTTCTATGGAGTGGCCGGTGGGTTTAAACCGCCAACTTTCTGGTTAGCAGTCAAATGCTTTAGTCACTACATCACCAGAGCTCCTTCCAATATTAGCTGCTAACTAGAGCAATTGTGAATACTGTCTGAAAACAATAAGTATTCTGAAAACAGAACAGCACCTTGAATACAAATATATATAAAACCAACTGCCATTGAGTCCATTCTGACTCATAAAGACTCTACAGGACAGAGTAGAACTGCCCATATGGTAAAAATCACTGAAGGGAACCTGAAAAAATTACGCAAAGAGTCGATGAGATTGTTGGTGATTTTTTTATTATTTTTTTCCTTTTCAAAAAATATAAGGCAGATGGCATAAATCAATAATCCCAGAGGTCTCAAACCTTGTGGCATCTGAGGATGGGGGATTTTGTTTTTATTGTGGGGGTGAGGTGGTGGTGGATGTTTTGAAGCTGTCAGTTTAAATCACACAAGGCCAAGATGGACTGATCCTATAACATACCTCACTCAGTCAGCTGTTTCTGCATTTCCCCAGGTACCTCGTGAAGACTGGGTCTTGCAGTGGCCTGGCCAGGTGGTTATCTGCGTCTCTTCCATCTTTTGGACCCAGGAGGTATCCCAAGGCCTGGTTGAAAACACCCTGCCAGTAAGTGGCCTGTCAGGAAGCTTGCAGGAGAGATTCATCATGCATCTGATTAGGATTTGAATGACGTTTAATTATATTATGTTTTCTAAATAAAAATAAGGTCCGTGGTGTCACAAGTCAGGGTTATCATGGGAACAGTGGGATGGGGAATTTGGAATGGGGCTGTCCTGGAGTTCTTTTGTGCAAGGCCTTTCACAGTCCTTTCCAGTAAGAAATGCTGGCCTGCAGGATTCTAAGGCTTCTCAGCCTTTGCCAATTAACCTTTTTGCTTCCAGGAGTCAACCTGGCAGAATATTCACCAACGAAGAGCCCCTCAACCCATCCCTGTCTTCTTCCTAGGCCCAGAGATCACCTGGCCCTGTCCTCCTTTTTCCACCTCCACCTTGACCGCCTTCTCACCATCCCACTTCCCTTACAAACCCACCCCCACCCTTCCTTTACCTCTCTCTCTTGAAACTGAATGTGCTCAAGCACCTACTTATCCTCACACATGTCCTGGGTGTGAATCCAGGCACACATATTTTCAGTCAATTCCTGCCATTCATTTCAATGCTTAAGAGTACCAGACCTAGAGGGCATTTGGTTATTAGCTTTGTGAGTCTTATTAGCCGGAGTCTTAGTCTCCTTGTCTGTAAAAGGCATTTATGATAGTACCACATCTTAGTATTGTATGTTTGTGTTTGAGGGAGGTGGGTAAATGAGATGCCAGTGATTCAGTACTTAAATGCTAGGCTGTCATCCTCACAAGGCAGAAGCCAGGTCTGTTCTGCTTACTATTTCATTTCTAGGGATTAATGCAGTGTCTAGCACATAGTAGATGCTCAATAAATATCTGTCAAATGAATGAATGGTGGTAACTCCATTCCCAACCTTTCTACAGTGGTATTATTTCCCAAGATTATCACATCAGACTTCCCTTATAGAGTATTGAACCAGAATATATTTTACTTTACTATATTTTGCTTTATACATGAAAATTAGAACATTAGGGTATTTGGCCAAGTTTCAAAGTTATACAGATTTTATGTTGATAAATCCTAATAGATGTGTTGTACATCACACTCCGCAAGTTGCTTTCATATGTACCATTGCAAACTTCAAAAATTCTAGAAACTTCTGAGTTTTCTGTCTGCTTCTCTGTACCCCAGTTTTCTTGCTATTAAAGTGGGAAGACGTTCTATGGCACACCCAAGGCTGGAGTATAAGTTACTGAGTAATAGGCCTGGGAGTCCTTAAAGGAAGGAGATGTTGGAACAGGTTAATCATCCATCTATCCATGTACTTGTTATTCATTTAACAAATATTTATTTGGCATCTGCTCTGTGTTGAGACTGTGCTACTGGGCAAAGGGAATTATAGGTGAACAAGTTATGATCTCCTAGATTTGTAGTCTAGTGGGGGAGATAAAAAGACTCTTCATAGAATTGCATTAAGTCCAGGGATCTAGGAAGCATAGGGAGGGAGGAAAGAAGTGAGAGATAGTTAGGGTCGGGGGTGACTTCCCAGAAAAAAGGTGTCTAAGGGGAGACCTAAGGAGTCCCCTGGGTGGCACAGATGGTTAAGCTCTCTAGTGTTAGCTAAAAGATTGGCGGTTCTAACCCCCCTCCCCCTCCAGCAAGACAGGCCCCACAATCTATGTACAAAAGGTCATGGCCTTAAAAACCTACTCTGCACACATAGGGTCGCTGAGTCGGAATTGACTGGATGGCAACTTACAGCAAGGGGAGACCTGAACTCTGAGTAGAGGTTAGCCAAGGAAAGACGAGGAGGAGGAGTGTTTCAGAGAGAGGGACTGGAGCATGCCAGCGTCTGAAGGTGCAAAGCAGGCTGCACTCCAGGAACTGAAGGCCCCTTGGTCCAGGAGAGCTGTAGAATGGGTGTGGTTAAGAGGGAGGTGGGGAGAAGCCCCATTGGGAGGGTTCTTACAGATGTACCAAGGGCAATGAAAAGGTTTTTGTTTTTCAAATTCTACTGTGTGCCAAGCACCTTATTATTAATAACAGTAAAACCACCACTATTTATCACTTGTTTCTTTGTATCAGGCATTGTGCCAAGTGCCGCACTTAGATTATCTCAAAACACCTTAGAGAGGCAGCTATAATTATCACCAATTGACAGATAAGGACACCGAGGTTCAGAAGGTTAAAATCATTTGCCCAAAACCACATAGCTATAAAGTGGGGAAGGTGAGTTTGAACCCAGGGTAAAAATTTCTTCTTTTTTAAATTCAGTTTTTATTTTTTAACCCTTTAGTTTGAAATAGTGCCAGACTTACAAATAGTGTTGCAGAAAACTACAAAAAATTCCCATAGACTTCACCTAGTTTCCCAAATATTAACAATCTGAACATAACCAGAAGGTTGGTCAATCTACTTCCGTAGTGATACTGCCTTGGAAGCCCAAGGAGGGTCACTATGAGTCGCGTCCGACTCGATGGCAAATAACAACAACATAGCCAGAATACAATGATCCTGTTCAGGAAATTGACATTATAATGAACAATTAACATTATAAATAATATTATCTAATCTATAAACAAAAACCCATGGCTCTTCAGTCAATTCTGACTCATAGTGACCCTGTAGGACAGAGTAGAACTTCCTCATAGGGTTTCCAAGGTTGTATACCTTTACGGAAGCAGACTGCCTCATTTTTCTCCCATGGAGTGACTGGTAGTTTCAAACCACTGACCTTTCTATTAGCAGCCAAGTACCAAACCACTGTGCCACTAGAGTTCCTTATCTAATCTGTGAACCAAAAGCAAATCAAACTCACTGCTGTCAGTCTATTGCAACTCATAGTGACCCGTCCTTGGGTTTCTGAGGCGGTATCTCTATGGAAGTAGATTGTATAGCTTTCCTTCCGAGGAGTAGGCTGGTGAGTTTGAATTGCCAGCCTTCTGGTTAGCAGTCAAATGCTTTAGGCACTGCGCCACCAGAGCTCTAATCTATAGACCTTATTTAAATTTAGCCAGTTATCCCACTGATGTCTTTTTCATCTGGGCCAGGACCAAATCCAGGATTGCAAGTTGTATGTAGCTTTCATATCTCCCA